ACCACTACTACTAGTAGTAGTAGTATTGCAAAATAGTACTAGTAGTAGTAGTAGTACTAGTAATTCCAGCATAATTAACAAGAATATCCAACTCAAGAATTTTGTTCTTCCAGTGACAATAATGGAAAGCCCCTCAATCTTGCATTTTTCAATATCCATGCATTTGCTAGCAACATTCCACATCAGTGACACCAAGGGGGAACAGGAAAAACTGATACACACCAGAAGGTTCTCTATTTGGGGGCAGTATATCAACAATCAATTTGGGGGGATCATCTGACAATAAAGTTAATTATCARCAAATTAAAAGTTTATTACCTCCTGATTAATAAAGTTAATTAATCTAGTCAATGAAGTTTATTAATCCCAGTAATAAACACTAACTAATCTTTTACTGGTGTGCTACTAGTACTAGTAGTACTAGCTGCTAAATATAGCAGTCCTCTGTAGAGAAAGCCCAACAGGAAGATGCTGCTCACCACAAAGCTACTAGTAGTAGTAGTAGTAGTACTAGCTGCCACCACTACTAACAACCACAATCATGACAGATTAAACTACTTTCAAAGACACTGTAAGATGGTTGTTGAATAGTGCCTTGGAAAGAAAATATAAATAGTAGCTAGATGGCTGAAGATCTTTAGTAATGTACTACTGAATGCTTCCTTCCATCACACTATAGTATGGGGACTGCTGGAAAGCACAGAATGTGCTTAGGAGCTGTTGTGGTGGTTGTTACACACCAGCTCAAACTAGGACTTTCTGGAATGTAGGACGAGGGCATTGAATACTWAAGTCCTAAAATATTTCTATTAGTGATCCTTCTTACTACTGCGGATACAAMATCAGTGCTTATCCCCAGTATTAAGGACCACTAATAGAAATATTTTGGGACTAGCGAGAAATTAAACAATGGAATATTTTTATTTTTGTCCGTTGGATGCCTTTTTTAACTGGTTTTAACTGTAAAAATGAGCTAAAAATTTTTGTACGGGGAATGCCAATAACTTGCCAGCACGGGAATTGTACTTCGYAACTCTAGTACTCATGATTATTTTCTTGTAACAGCAGAGTGTACCGTGCGCTACGGTCAAAGCAAAAAACCTGGATTGAGTGACATTACCGTTAGGGCTATTATTTTTTTGGCTCTAAAAGGCACAATTCGTTTGAAATTTGTTATGTCAGGCATAGAACTACAATAGTTTTCCCAGATCCTCGTTGCCAATTTTGTCGCGCTGCTTCTCCATAATAACAAAAATTCCGCTTCACACGTGTGTATTTTGTGGAAGTAATTACGACAGGAACAACGATAGAAGCTGTTCGAATGTGTTGCTCGCTATGCATTTGCTAACATYGGATGCCTTACCGTACTGCTCACCCTATTTTCTCTTGAGTTGTGGTGACTGGAAGACTAAAGGTGACAGGTGACAACACCAGTGTGAGACGCAAAACGTCGTTAAATTTTTTGTTCCTATCGAAAACGAAACTTTCGACGGGAACGATATTGTGGAACGAGGCAGGTATTGCACACCGCTGTATCGCGRTACATACAGAAAAGGGCGAAAAACGAAACGAGCTATAGGCTACCAATTTCCCCCTCCAATGCCAGTTTATCGAGGCGATGGCATGTCATCGGACGACATCACGAGCGATGACGGAACATCGTCGTGGYTTTCCTCCGATGAGGAYGTCGACCTCTCCTGGATGAAACGATTTAGTTTAGCTGCAGCTGCAGCTGCTACCTCGGAGCCTAATTTGGAACCAAAGACACCTAACTCGACACCCAAGGACAGCATGCAGAAGTTTGAGAAGATACCACGGCGTCAATCGTTGCCAAATACTTGTGCATCCTCACGCAGAAATCACAAAACAAAAGTAGAAAGGGTGGGTCGAGAGGCACTAGATATTCTCCAATCTCCATCGGACCCAGACTGGATGTACAAATTTAGCGCTCCACATAGTTTGGATGGTAAGGAGAGAACTAATAACGGACTGGAGCCCGATGCCAGAAAGGACGGTCCAGAACCCTCTGTTCGCTCCCGAAGAAGAGCGAAACGTCGAGTTCGAATACGAAAAAACCTGAGTAAACTAAAACGACGAGAGCACGAACGATCAAAATTGGAGCGTTCAGAAAGTCCAACTGGGAAGCGTTGGGAAAGTCCATCTAGGAGGCGAGGTAAACAACGAAGTGACCCCCCGGCTCGYGACCGAAGGAGAATGAAAATCGACGAAAAATCAGGAAACGGAACAGATCCCTCCGAACACGGAAGAGGCAGAAGACAAAGAGGGGCAGATCCGCCGGAGGATAAGCGAAAAGACTACCCGGTCTGTCCAACAGAGTCGCGTAAAAAACAAATCGGCATCGATCCTCCTGAGGAAAAGACAAGGAGACGTAGAAGCAAACAGCAAATTAGAAAAACGGCCTCAAAACTACGATCTCGGTCGAGGCAAMAGACTGTGCCATCGCAGATCAATGCCACTTACAGTTYGAATTTGAATCCATCTCGTGACGACTCTAAAGATAAGAAAGCAGATAACACAACAAAGAAAAAAGGTTTGAAGAAAGATGWCTTTGATCTATCTTCATTGTCATCTCACAGTGAGGTGGCAAAATCATCCTGTATCGATGCCGCCGTGAAGACACCTCGAGAGAYAACTCAAGAACAAGTTGTAGCAAAGCCAAAGGAACAGAAGAAAATTCCCAACCATCCTGTTGCTTCAACGCCTCCTGAGTCTATGAAGAAGTCATCGTCAGACAAAACTGCAAACAATGGTATCGCAAACAAGAAGAATGAAAAGAAGGAAAGTACCCGACAGCCTCCGAAATTACCAGCAKCAACGACAACCTCTAAAGCGGTAGCAGGAGAGCAAGAMGTGGAGTCTACTGCGAAAGAAGACACACCAGAGCCAGAAACAAAAACAAAAACTTTCGAATCAATACCCCAGTTTACAATAGAGACCACTCAACCGGAGAATCTTTTTGGAATGTGGGGAAATACTTTGAAAGTGAATAAAGATGCTGAAACAGCCAGAATGGATTACAGAACGCTCATGAACCAAAAAGATAGAATGAAGGATCGAATCGCGAAAGCAAAAAAAGAGCATGGGATTCCAATTGTCGTAAAAAATAACGTCCACTACAAATCRGCAATTGAAGAATCTTCCGATACYGAAGTCGAGTCGAACGACGATGCTGCTGCAATGTTCAATAGCGCAAAGGAAGACAAAAAAAAAGATTCCGAAACGGAGGATGCCGCTGCATTGTTTCATAGCGGAGGTAAGAAAACAGA